GTGTGTAGGTGCGTCTGCTGACAGGTATCGGCAGATATGATGAGATGACGTACGTCTTTGACCTGCTGCATCAGAACCATCGCTTTGAGATGCTGCTGAGGAAGAAGGTGGACATGGACCGAGGACAGGTGGACACACACACACACACACACACACACACACACACACACACAGAGCTGATTGACACACTGGACGGCTCGGTATCGTTTAGATTCCACTTCCTGTGTGATGAGTAGCTCCTGTTGGAATTAGAGCAGTGACACAGTCATGAACTCCAGTGTCTGTCCTGCTGCAGAGCTCCAGTCTGAAGACGGCTCTGCTGGACTACATCAAACGCTGCCTCCCTGCAGACAGCGAGAAGCACAACATGGTGGCGCTGTGTTTCAGCATGAGGAGGGAGATCGGAGAAAACCACGAGATGGCGGCCAGGACGCAGCTGAAGATCATCGAGTCTCAGGAGTGGGGTGAGAATTTACCCAAATCCTCAGTGAACATCTGAATCAGGGTTTGTCTCCGTGTCGGCCGCGGCGTCATGTGACCGTGAGTTTCTCTGACTTGTCTCCAAACAGTCGTCACGCCTGATCTGAAGAGTTCGCTGGTCAAAGTGTTGGGTCTGTTGAAGGACGCGGCTGAGAGCTTCTCCAAGGTACTGACCTCCTCCATGTTTGTTCCTTCAGTACTCCACACAGAGGGTTATCAACTGTGTGTGTGTGTGTGTGTGTGTGTGTGTGTGTGTGTGTGTGTGTGTGTGTGTGTGTGTGTGTGTGTTTCTAGGACTCGTGTGTGCGTCAGGCGACTCGCTGCGTCCGCACAGCTAAGCTCGTCGCTCTTCAGCTCCACTTCCTGAACCAGGAGTCCGACGTACGTGTCATCAACCTGCGACCTGCGGTGCTGCTGAAAACGCTCATCGGGCTGCCGCGATGTTACCAGGTCACTTCCTGTTCCTGCTTTCGCTGAAAAACTTTCACAACCTTTTTCTGGTGATATTTAAAAAAAACACATTTTCTCAGTTTGGTGACGTGGTGAAGCAGCGGGGCATCATGGGAGTCATCGCACAATGACTCGAGTCATGTGACTGATGAGAACCAATCAGGAAGAGAGTTTGCGTCATCGTTTACAAAAGTCAACAAACCCAGAATAGTGTGGTCGCCAGGCGTTACCATAGCAACAGTGATGCTCTAGAAGGGACATGCATGAGTGTGGACGGAGCCGCAGGATTCAGAGTGTGAGACAAACAGGATGTGTTGTGTCCCGGCAGGTGTTCGTGGTGTCGGAGGCGTACGGCGTCAGTCCGGACTGGGCGGAGATTCTGTACCAGAGGGTTATTCTGAAAGGAGACTTCGTTTACCTGGAGGAGCTCAAACGCCACCGCCCGCTGACCTCCAGCCTGTTTGAGGACATTTTCAAGAAGTGAGACGCTCGTCCCTCGTCCTTCATGAAACCACGTGACGCTCTGACCTCGTCTCACGTGTGCGTTCTGTATCTTTGTCGTTTCAGACTGGACGCCGCTCCCGGCAACGTCACTTCAAACGTGAAGCGCCTGCTGACGCACTGCGACGACGTGTACAGCCGCTACAGGCTGGCCTACCAGCAGAAACTGGACGACGTCACCAAAACGATGCTGCAGGACGCGAAGACGTCCAACTACCTGAACGACAGACTGGCCGGCTGATCCGCTGAGTCTGTGTTTATAATCACATGAAACGTTACGAGCGGAGAATCAACTGAAAATCTTCAGAACATAAAACATCTGTGAAAATGTAAATAAAAGACTCTTTGTAAACTGATCTGCGTCGAGTCTGTGATCGACCTTCGGCAGCTTCACTCTTTGGTTTGTTTGGTTTTTATTTGGTTGTTAAACTGACTCGTGGACACGTCGTCTCCAAACTTCAGGTTCAATGGAGCCGAGCAGGAAACGAACACGTGACTCATTCAGTGTTTTTACTTCAGGGATCAGTTGATGGAACCGAGCGATCGAGTGGGAGTGGCTGAACGGGCCGGGATACTTTAAACATGGCGACGTAGAGCATCAGCAGAACTGTGCCTCCTCTACATCTTAATTATCGTTGACAAATCAGAATCTTTTTTAAAAAACCTCCGATAGTTTTCTTTTCAAAAGACGTTTGTTTCTTAGAACAAAGAATTTATGAAGCATTCAGCTGCATATTAACACGTGTCCTCGTCTCGTCTCAGCTGATGTTCTCATCAACGTTATTTGTTCTTGTTTCTTCACCTCCTTTTCGCTCTGTCTCTTTTTCTTCTTTTACTCACGTTGATAATGTAAAAATGTTAATTAACAGTCAAAGGAAAGAAAACTGCTTTAAAAACCCGTATTTAGTTTCTATTCGTATTTAAAGCCACGATATCTACGTCCACTGACTTTAAACAAATAGAAGAAACACAAACAAAGGAAC